ATGCACGCATTCTCCACACACAACAAGTACCCCGTGAAATGCGTGTGGTTTCGGCTATGTTTGCGTAAGAGTAACTTGGGTGCAAATTAAGGCCGAGGAAACATGTGACTACCAACATGAAGTAAGATCTCACGTGAGCTCAGTGAGTTGTTAAACAATATCGAAACGAGGCATAACTTGCACAAACTTATTGCCGGCAGGTTTTCAAGCAGGGAGAATCGGGTTTCGCGGCCAGAACTACTACCGGTAATTGAACATGCACACCACCACGTTCCCGCCTCTAATAAGCCATCACCCTTTCAACAACTTCGTCAAAGTAAAACCACTAAACACCACCGTGCCTCCAGACACTCGTCGACTCTCGGTAGCCTTCTCTTCCACTAAGTCTTGGCAGCGTGCCGCTTTGTGGCTTACAAGGGACTGCCACAACCCCCAGATGTGCCTTCTCGCCTCGACATCTCGACCGGAAAGTAAGAACATCAGAACATCGCCACACTTATACCTTATGCGTTCCCGAACAACGACCGTCAAAAAAAGTATGCTTCAGAACATCTCTCATTTAACAGCCTCTACCAGAAGTTCGCAATGAATTGAAGTTTTCCGATGTCTTATGGTCCAGGGAAGAGAAACTCTAAGACTTAGGGTACACACTCTTCCTTTTTTTCCCTAAAGAAGGAAAGGTTGGCAAGAGGTCGACAACAGCGTAAGCTGGGATCAACCGAATGCATCACACAAGCATGCTGCAAGAAGCGACACACCAAAGTATGTGAAACTCGGAAGTGAAAAAGACTCTTCAAAAAATGTACACGTAGGGCCAAAAGTCTCGAACCATAGCCTATTCTACTCAACAAGGTTCAAGAAGAGTAGCTATGGTATCGTCTAGCTGTCCTCTACCGATTTCGACCGGAGCCAGAGTCCGGTCTCATCAGGAGGAAAACAAATCCGAGGTAAGTTGGAAAGTGAGTAAGCTACTTAAATACTGGTCTGTTACCCGAGAGTTTCACCGCGTGAAAAAGCTCATGCCCTGAAAACTTCGAAGTTCTACGAGCCAGATACCCTTGAGCGGGAAAGGAATTTTACTCTATTTCGTATAATCGAAATTCTGGAAAAATCCCGCAGTATCGTCTGGCATTTCCTTCCAGTTCTGCAGACGCCTCATGGTCAACAAGTGATTTTTACTCTACCTGAAACGGTAAAAACGTTTCATAGTCGGCATGAGGAGTTACCAGTTTCCTTCGCACGTTTTACTTCTCCGTTCAATAAATCCCTACGGAGCTCTATAGGCTTCGAGGGCCAGAGATACAGTAAATATCAGAAAATCCAAAAAAAATTAAGCCCTGTTTCGTAAATTCGAAATTCTGAAAGATCGAAAATCTGAAAAAATCCCGCAGTATCGCCTGGCATTTCCTTCCAGTTCTGTAGAGGCCTCATACTCTGCCTGAAATGGTAAAAACATTTCAGTTTCCTTCGCGCGTTTTACTTCCCCATTCAATAAATCCCCACCGAGCTCCAGAGGCTTCGAGGGTCAGAGATACAGTATATCTTTGAAATCTCAGAAAATCCAAAAAACTCCAACTCGTATATCTAGTCCCTACAGAATCGTACGAGGCACTGTAGCTACACAGATCGGATTGGGGGTCCAGAGTTTCCAAAGAACGTAAGCCCGCATGATTCAGTTCGAGTTCAGATTTTGCGAAAGTTATCCCGTATTAGATCTGTATATCCGCACAGTGCCCCGCTTTTTTCATGCATCTGGCTCCAGAAAAATCCTATTTCTTCCATTTTATCTAGTTCCCCCCAACGTCAGAAAAAATGTAGCGGCTCTGGGAAATATCTTCTGCCTGGACTAATACTGTTCAAAAAGCCGGTTTTCACCCTTGCTTCAAGATACGATCCAGAGTCATTACGTGTATAGTAGTTCCCGTATATTTTGCCTAATAATTCTATTACCAACCCTATATCTATTATTCCATCTCTCCCATGATGGTGCATGTTTTTGGACGAATTTCCCCAGACAGTCATCAAAGTATTTCCCCATGTACTCCTGCAATCTAAGGAGTCTTTTCAAGGTAAGCAGACTCATTCCTACTAACTCTACATCTGAGGTCATTGCATAAATTATGTGTAAACAGCACGTAATGAATGTTTTTTTTCTGTGGAACAGATGAATAGGATTTGAAATCCTTGAGCGTTCTAAAAGTGAGTTCTTCCTTATCCCAAATTTCCTTGTGGTTTCTTTGAACTAACAGGGTCGTCACTTTTCTCCCTGATTCCACTTTTATTTTCGCTCCCAAGAAATCTCATTCGCCATTTCCACTGTCCGTTCGTTCTAGCGTCAGTGCTTTATCATACGATGTTTGGAATTTATTCATGACGTCCAATGCTTTAGTATCCCCATCCTTTCCGTTACTCCAGACAAAAATGGATACATCGTCCATCAGTCGTGTGCCTTTAATGAGTTTCCTATCTAACCATAGGCTAGTTAGAAAGGAGTACTCATTAAAGGCACAGAGTATACAAGCCAAAGGTGGGCTTGTACTCTTCCCCATTGGAATTCCAGTCCTCTGTATAATTAGTGTGTTTGCTGCTACGACATATATATTCCGAAGTTCGAAGGTGATTAGATTTCGGATTTCTTCGAAATTGACAATCATCCAGCTGTCCTGCTCATTTTTTCAGAGAGAAGGAAACCCCTTTCCCCCGCCGTCTTATCGATATTTTATCTTTTTCTTTACCCATGTAGTAGCGTAGGATCCAATCAAGTGCTATTAGAATAGAATGATGAGGTAGTTTACTGAACATTTCTTTAATATCAAATGCAGCACATAGTAAATAACCGTTCTTTTTTAATTTCGTCCATCTATTTAATTCCGTTACTTTTCGACTCAACTGGTCTGTTGATTTTAAGTTAAAATTCATGTTCTTTGGCAGCAAAAACAATAGGTGGTTCAGAGCTCGCGCTACCCTACCACCTGCTGATCTCGAGGGTTCAGAGAAGGAGGGGCTTATGGGGCGGAATTTACATAAGTTCTTATTTTTAGGAGTAATGTAAGCACGCCCACATTTACCTTTCCCATCCCATTTCCCGATTCTTGTTAAATCATCTTCTTTGAATTCTCTCTCGCATTTTACCAGTATTTCTGCTTCAGATCTCCATTCAGCAGAAAAACTTCCGTTTCCCTAAAAAACGTCTTGCATTCTTTTTGCATAGATTTCACGACACATAATTACAGTTTCTGCTGGATTATTATCTACTGCAGTTAACACAAAATTCCTACTTAGGCGTTTCAGAAAGGACATAGAATCAGAATCGAAATTACTTTGGTTCGTTGAGACTTTCAAACAGCTTGTCATTGCATTTCTTGACACTGGTGTATCGATCCCCATTTGCATCAACGCATCATTAATCTCACTTAGTACTTTCATTTCTCTTCCTTTCTGATCCGGAAAAGTAATATTCCCTGCATTCCTAACGAAGGCATCTAATCCTTCCAGGTTGCTTACTCTGCAAATCACGTGTCCTTCTGAAGTAAGAAGGTTAAAATCTGCACAGGTGCAAATTCCCACCGGGCTCTGAGACATAGTCCGATGGTTCTGGAGGATATCAGCAACTGATCTGTTCTTTTTTCAGACCGTTATGAGTTTCCTACTCATGAAAACAGCTCCAGCAAAGGGGAGGTGGTTCATCAAATGATCTGTAATTACTCTTCTAACGGCTTTTTTACGCAGTCCATAGGTACACAGTGTTTTTTACGTGTACTAAACCCAAATTTCCTCCACAGGACTCCTCTTAGTACGTCCCTTAGGTTACTACGACGTATCGCTTTAGAGAAGAGGTCTGTGGCTAGGAATCGGTCAAGTAATTCTTCTAGGGTACATTTATAAAGTTTCATTTTAGCCCAAGGATTTTTCAGGATTTTGTGCAGATTACCTTTTAGTTCCTTATTCCGTTTCGATAGAGTCCCAGCTTTTAGAGCTCGGAGTTTGTAAACGCCTCCTTTTTCCAATTCATCTTTCAAATCCGTCAAAGGTATGGAGGACGAGGAAACAGTACCGATCGAAAAGGTGCTCTGTCCAATTTCCCGTATTATCGCTTCCCAGTCAGGCACCCATATCTTACCACCTGAAGATGTTATATGTCCATTACCTTTAGATGTTGTTTTACATACATTAATTAAATTAACGGATTCTATAGTTCATGATTTAAATATAATAGGCTCCTGGCTCGGTAAATCATTGCATCTATGTTGTTTACGTTCTTTCCTGCCTTTACGATTGGTTTTAGTAGAGGTTTTTCTTCGACATGTTGAATTAATTGAATTTAACGAGGGTGACCATTTTTTTATAATAACCCTTTCTAGTTGGGGGAGGTCGTGAGCTGGTACAAAGAATAAAGGGAGGGCGATATAATTTTTACAACCCTTATTACGAAGCCAGGAATAAAGTTTAGAGTTATTAGCACTATGCTTATTATTAGTCCGATATACATGCTCATTCCACCTCTCATGCAGAGATCTAGATGTCTGTCCTATATATGATGCTTGGCAACTTGGGTCAAGAAGGACATAAATACATGAAGACGGGTTTTCCCATCTATCTAAGTCGTTTTCAATCAGGTATATCCAGTTATTAAGGAATTTTGTTCCCCATTGGATATCCCCTTTATGAACTAGGATTACCACGCACAATCTCAATATTTTTTTTATAGCTAATCTTATATCCTTAATATCTTTCCCATTTCTAACGGTTAGCTGATGGCGTAGACTTAAGTAGAAACGCAGATCGTTCCACACGTTACTCGTCGGACGGATCCCGATGTTCGATCAGTGGTGTTTTTGGTCCGCGTGTCACGCTTGCAGGTTGTTCGCGGATCACTATTCCTCCTTGGCACGGTGTTCGCGGTACTTTGTAGAAGTGCATCACCCGAAGATCAATCAGTTCGTCAACAGCTTCCGGGCGTTCACGGTAGGTCATTCCCCATTCTCTGCACATCTCCTGGATGGTTGGAACACTCTTCTTGTTCAGGAATTTCCTTGTCTGTTTCTTGAAGGCGACCTCTGTTTTGTTGTCGACATCCACCGGTGCTCCTTCCCACAAGCTGGATTCGTGTCGAGTCTTGCTTTTTCCCTTTGTAGCTTGTAGGTTTGTCTGATCATCCCTTTCTTGTACCACATGCGCCATGGTGTCTCCTATGCTCGGTCTTCCCATTTTTGTCGGAGTACCAGCTGGGCTTGCATGCGTCCCCGATGTTTGTCCTTGCTGGCGTTTACGCTTCTCCAGTCTTTCTTCTTGAGTTTCTTCCTCCTCTTCCTCATCCTCTGATGATTCAGGTTCTGGCGTGGCCATCTTTGCTTTCGCTTTAACTACTCTCTCAGTGATCATTAACCCCTTCAATCTGTTTTCCAATCTCTTCTCGAAATCCAACTCCATAGCCTCCTTCTGCTTCGCTAACATCTTTTTGAACTCCCAATTCCTCTTTGCTTCCTTCAACTCTTTTGCCTTTTTCTTTTCTAACGCCAACCTATTCGCTTCCTCCCTCGTTGTTCTTTCCTCCTCCGCCTTCTTTCTCTTTTCTTCTGCTTCCTTCTTTTGTTGGCGTTCCTCCTCCTCCTTCTCCGCTTGTCTTCTCACGAAAGCCGCCATGCTTTTCAAGGATTCCTCTACATCCTTGCTTAATACGGCCGTTTTCTCCGTTTCCCCGCATGCGTTGGAGCTACTCGATCCCTCATTCATGTGCGGCCCTTGGTTATGGATTTGTACACCTTGATTATGCTGTCGTTGCGCCTGGCATTCTCGAGAAATGTGTCCAAAGAGCCCGCAGTTATAACATTTAGGAACCTTTCGTTGCCAGCCTCCTCCTCCGCTCCCGTTGTTACTCCAGTTTCCCCCTCCTCCGTTATTCCAATTTGCGCCATTTCCATTGTTCCATCCCCCGCCGTTGCCATTGTTCCATCCTCCTGGTCCTCCCATACTCCCGTTGCTCCACCCACCTGATCCTCCACCGTTCCCACCATTCCATCCTCCCATTCCATTACCATTCCATCCTCCTTGTCCGCCTTGTCCTCCGTTCCAGCTACCTCCATTGCCCTGTGGTGGGCCTGGTGGCCCTGTTCCGAAACCGAAACCGCCGTTTCCTCCGCCTCCGTTCATCTGTCAGTCTTCGATCTTGCTAGGTCTAGTACTAATACTACAGGGCCACCTAACCAGGTGATCTACTCCTGGCCGGTTGCCACTGCCTTTACCAATAGGAAAGGTTGGCAAGAGGTCGACAACAGCGTAAGCTGGGATCAACCGAATGCATCACACAAGCATGCTGCAAGAAGCGACACACCAAAGTATGTGAAACTCGGAAGTGAAAAAGACTCTTCAAAAAATGTACACGTAGGGCCAAGAGTCTCGAACCATAGCCTATTCTACTCAACAGAGTCCGAGAAGAGTAGCTATGGTATCGTCTGGCTGTCCTCTACCAGTTTCGACCGGAGCCAGAGTCCGGTCTCATCAGGAGGAAAACAAATCCGAGGTAAGTTGGAAACCTGTCTCTTATACACATCTAGATGTGTATAAGAGACAGGGATCATGGAGCCGGAAAGAGCGCTTGTTGCCACTGCCTTTACCAATAGGAAAGGTTGGCAAGAGGTCGACAACAGCGTAAGCTGGGATCAACCGAATGCATCACACAAGCATGCTGCAAGAAGCGACACACCAAAGTATGTGAAACTCGGAAGTGAAAAAGACTCTTCAAAAAATGTACACGTAGGGCCAAAAGTCTCGAACCATAGCCTATTCTACACCTGTCTCTTATACACATCTAGATGTGTATAAGAGACAGTTGCCTTTACCAATAGGAAAGGTTGGCAAGAGGTCGACAACAGCGTAAGCTGGGATCAACCGAATGCATCACACAAGCATGCTGCAAGAAGCGACACACCAAAGTATGTGAAACTCGGAAGTGAAAAAGACTCTTCAAAAAATGTACACGTAGGGCCAAGAGTCTCGAACCATAGCCTATTCTACTCAACAGAGTCCGAGAATGTCTCTTATACACATCTAGATGTGTATAAGAGACAGGTCCAGAGTTTCCAAAGAACGTAAACCCGCATGATTCAGTTCGAGTTCAGATTTTGCGAAAGTTATCCCGTATTAGATCTGTATATCCGCCGCTTTTTTCATGCATCTGGCTCCAGAAAAATCCTATTTCTTCCGTTTTACCTAGTTCTCCCCAACGTCAGAAAAAATGTACCGGCTCTGGGAAATATCTTCTGCCTGGACTAATACTGTTCAAAAAGCCGGTTTTCACCCTTGCTTCAAGATACGATCCAGGGTCATTACGTGTATAGTAGTTCCCGTATATTTTGCCTAATAATTCTATTACCAACCCCTTTATCTATTATTCCATCTCTCCCATGATGGTGCATGTTTTCGGACGAATTTCCCAGACAGTAGTCAAAGTATTTCCCCGGGTACTCCTGCAATCTAAGGAGTCTTTTCAAGGTAAGCAGGCTCATTCCTGCTAACTCTACATCTGAGGTCATTGCATAAATTCTGTGTAAACAGCACGTAATGACTGCTTTTTTCTGTGGAACAGATGAATAGGATTTGAAATCCTGGAGCGTTCTAAAGGTGAGTTCTTCCTTATCCCAAATTTCCTTGTGGTTTCTTTGGACTAACTGGGTCGTTACTTGTCTCCCTGATTCCACTTTTATTTTCGCTCCCAAGAAATCCCATTTGCCATTTCCACTGTCCGTTCGTTCTAGCGTCAGTGCTTTATCATACGATGTTTGGAATTTATTCATGACGTCCAATGCTTTAGTATCCCCATCCTTTCCGTTACTCGGGCCCGCAGATAATTCAGAATCATTCTATCATTCGTCTAGTTCCATCTGGATTCGAACTCAGGGCTGTGTAATTCAACTGAGCTATGCTCGTTGGTTTAGGGTACACACCCTTGCATAACGACCCTGCGAAGATGGCCTACACACTCTTGGATAACGACCCCGTGAAAATGGTCTCGATCTCATCGTAAGGTCGAAGGAGTTGAGCCCCCCCGGGCCACATTTGACCCTCTACCACAAACAACTGAATTTGGCTTGGCCTCATCCAAGGCGAACTTCGTTTTTACACACCTTCACGGTGAAGACTAACGTCACTACGACTTGACTAGAGTTACGAGACTCACCTGACCACACCGGACTGCTGGATTCAGTCAAGACAGTACAACTCGCAGCCATTCTCACACTGTCACACAGTACGGCTTTCATGGACTCAACCAACCAAACTCCTACCTTCGGCTTTCAATCAAAAAGAAGGGCGACTGCGAAGACAACCCGCCTTAGAAACAGCCCAGGCAACTGCGACGGCCTGCCTTAGAAACGGGTCTGGCAAGTGCGATCCATATCAAGAGCGTCGATACACGATCAACAGAGGGACTACCATCTTCCCCCGAACGTAACGCACCATGATAATGAATGTGTACAAGTTGCATTTCCGATCAGGTACAGCCAAAACGAGGGTGGGTTGTGTACGGGGGAAGACGGTAGAGACGCACACAGACTGCACAGCATCAATTTGAGAAATCACCAGTTTTTACCGCCAATTGACGACTAGTTTTGTTCAGTGAAAGAAAAAAGAGTTGCAATGCACTGACTAGACCTGCAGTCCTCACCCGTGCCTCGCATTCACTTATTATTTTGGTACAGACGAGTCTGGCAAAAATCGCTCCGCAGCGATTGTTGCATTTCCATGGGACGTGCTTCCGCACCAACAGAATGGAGATTCGAAGAGGGGACAAGAAAATACCACGAGGTGTGACATCAAAGAGAACGCATTCTCCCTACAACTCACTAGTCACGCACCAGAACTTGCACAACCCCCTCTCCCCCCCCAAAAAAAAAAATAACAAGACAGTTTTCAACTCTTTTGCCAAAAGAACGCCACGCTTCCACAGTCGCATTCATAGCACACAAACCTTCACTCAGCGTTTCCCAATGTCTGGCCGCCGTGTTCTTCGAGATTCCCAGATTGTTCGCGATGGCCCGTAGACTCCTCGGTACCGTACTAACTCCGACTGAAGTGCTGGTCTAGACAAAAATACGAAGTTCATAAACGAAAACGAATGGAGTGCTGGTCCGGAATATGTTCACAAATGATCCCCCCCTGACTCCTGACCGTTTTCCCACGATTAGTAAGGACGGTCGTTATCACCATTTCTGAGGCACCTTACCAGTATTAAGATGCATGCATTATGAGCTCGCATTCTATCCGGGGGAAGACGATATAGCTGTACCGTTAGCACCAAATCAAACAGACTGGAGAACATCCGGAGTGCTCCCCTATTGCTGCTTCGCTCCATCGAATAGAGATCTTAAGGCTGGCTCCGGCGGCCCGAAAAGGCTCTTCAGAGAGAGTTTCGTGTGCACATCGATCATTGTTTTAATGTTTATGTTTTCTAAACGCTCTGATGTTTGGGACCAGAAGGTATTGCTCCCCACCAATAGATGATGGAGCCTCCTCCACAGCACAAAGCAGTCGTACATTGAAGAGAACTTTAACCGTGAGTTTGCTGTGCTTAACCAACCCTCAGTTTCTTCCCAACAGAGAAACAGAATTCCCAGGAAAAACGACTGACTCGAAGAAATAACCACAAGCGGTCGTACATACAAGGAGAATTTAACTTTACCCTTGAGTTTGGATGCCGGGCTTAGCCAACCCGGAGTTTGGATGCCGGGCTTAGCCAACCCGGAGTTTGGATGCCGGGCTTAGCCAACCCGGAGTTTGGATGCCGTGCTTAGCCAACCCGGAGTTTCTTCCCAACAGAAAAACATAGTTCTCAGGATAAACGACTGAGGACTCGAATCAAAATGACCGGATGGACAAATTTCATCAGGATAAACGACTGAGGACTCGAATCAAAATGACGGGATGGACAAATTTCCGCAACATTTTCGATCCCGTCTTACAGCGGTCTAGATGCCTGCCACGCATTGCCACCGTAACATCCTGAAGGGCAACAACTTGTACCACATCGCAAGACAAACACCGCCACAGCAATTAGTACAACCGTTCCGAATGAACTCGTTTCCAACGGAATATCAGTTCCATCGCAAACAAGTTCGATCGAAGAGAATTTCTAAGACCCTGCTCGCAGGACAACTTCAACCCCAAAAAACAGAACAAAAGAAAACCATCCCAGAGCAGCAAAAATGCGAATGAAAAGTGGGAGTCTATACTACAGCCGAAGTATATAACAATCAGTCGCAAAAGTCCACAGCTGATGACTTGTACGTTAACAAAACAAATACAAAACAAAAAAAGACATCCCACAAAGGTGAATGAAATGTGGGACGCGGTAATATACCCAAAAGTTTATCACAATCAGTCCCGAAAGTCCACAGCTGACTCGGATGATTCGATACCTTACAACTCACATATAAACTTCAATCGAAAAAATATATGTTTAGAGAGCACCAGCAAACAGATCATATCGAAAAAAAATCGAAACAAAACATTTACGACGATGCAAGCAGAGCACGTTCAGACATTCCCCGTTTGGGCATTCCATTTCGACGTTCCTCGGCGCAATCTCGGCATTTTCGGAACCGAAATCGTCGGGTCCCACTGGCGGGAACCCGGTTAAGCCCTGACGATTTCGGTTCAAGAAATCGCCGAAATTGCGACCAGGAACGCCCGAGAACAACAATCAGTCGCAAAATTCCACAACTAATGATCTGATACCTTACAGCTCACAAACAGACTAGCTCGGAAGGTGTACATTTTAGAGATCACCAGCAAATAGGTCTACTAAGTTCGAATCAATACAACACCTACGGCAACGCAAGCAGAGAATGTTCAGACATTACTTGTGGGAGATGAGAGAATGCTCAGACATTACTTGTGGGAGATGGTAAGCATCCCCACTCAATCGAAACCAAAAAGAAACTCCACATTCTATGCAAACAGCCGAAAGGCGAAAGGCCAAACCAAGCACAGCATGTTCAATACAACACCTACGGCAACGCAAGCAGAGCATGTTCAAACACGAAGATACCTAAACAGACGGATGATCATTTCCACCATTTTATCAATTTGTATAGAAAGGAAAAACGTAAATGCCAAGGCGATCTGCACAGCGAGAACCGACAAGTAGCCCGCAAAGCGTAAGCATATAATCTTCGAAACAATTTCGAGACATTTATTCAGTCAATGAATACTCAACTTAGCATAGTCTCGGTCTACTCGCGAACATCCCATCGACGAAAAGGAAGAGCAACAGCAGCAAGATCCTCACTCAAACTCAAACTAAGTCTCAGAGGAGGATTTCCTTCTTGGTGGCGAACGCTACGTATCATATATACCAGCAGTGCAGAACCAGAGGGCTCGAACCACCGACATAAAGCGAAAAGACGGCGTAGTCCACCTCTTTTTCAAGACTGTCCATAAGTCGGGTGCTGCTCGATCGTCAATGGCAAATCAAGCACCCTAAGATCAAATCCACCGCCGACATGCGAAGAGAAGACAACGATGCCAAGAGGAGAGTACGGTGCCCGGCGACTGCGCTTCGAGTCTTCAATCACGCATATTAACGAAAGTTAATAAGAAGCGAGAACAGGAGCTACAATTCTATCCGTACGAGAAAAAAACGGAACAAGAGGACGGGAGGCGGCACCGTAAACAACGAGTCAACTGGCAAACTCTGGCCTATACTCCTCTTCTTCAGGAATACTCTCTCGACGATTGCTGCAGTCGAGTGCTGCTCTCAAAAATACTCGCATGCTTATCATTTCCGCTCTCAAATCGAGTCGAAAACTTTCGAACCCATAGCCAATAAAACAAATCAACAAAACGATTGCGCAATGAACATGAATGAATTCAGTCAAACAACCCAAATTTCCAAATTTAGTCTAAAAAAAAGTGGCCTCCAGAGTGGGCCGTTCCCCATTATATCATCAAATCTTCACGGTGACCTTGAAAGAAATACTAGACCAGAGAAAGGATCGCCAAGCTCGAACGATCAACATCACCGTGCGTCGGTCAGAGCGAGAGGGATAAAGAGAAACTGCCGTCGTGAATCTGATCAACCAGATCAGAGTCATACTACCGTCACCGTGACGAGCGCAACGATCATATTATGCTCGAATCTCAGAAGCACTTCCTGTGCACGATCGACGGACCAGTTTCGTCGTACTCGCTCTTTGCAATCCACATTTGTTGGAATGTGCTCAGCGATGCGAGGATGGATCCTCCGATCCAGACACTATACTTGCGCTCTGGGGGTGCGACGACCTTGATCTTCATCGTGGTAGGAGCAAGCGAGGTGATCTCCTTGCTCATGCGGTCGGCAATTCCTGGGAACATAGTAGATCCGCCACTGAGAACGACATTGCCGTACAACTCCTTTCGGATATCGACATCGCACTTCATGATGGAATTGTACGTCGTCTCGTGAATGCCAGCGGATTCCATACCTATCAGAGCAGGATTGAACATCACTTCCGGACAACGGAACCTCTCACTGCCGATGGTAATCACCTGGCCATCTGGCAATTCGTACGTCTTGTCAAGGGATGAACTAGAAGAGCTGGTGGCCGACTCTTGCTCAAAGTCCAGAGCTACGTACGCCAGCTTCTCCTTGATGTCTCGCACAATTTCCCGCTCCGCGGTCGTCGTGAAAGAGTGCCCTCTCTCCATCAAGATCTTCATGAGATAGTCCGTCAAGTCGCGACCGGCCAAGTCCAGGCGCAAGATCGCATGAGGCAGAGCATACCCCTCATAAATAGGTACCGTGTGCGTCACGCCATCGCCGGAATCCAGCACAATACCTGTCGTGCGGCCACTGGCATAAAGCGACAGAACGGCCTGGATAGCTACGTACATGGCCGGGACATTGAAGATCTCGAACATGATCTGCGTCATCTTCTCTCGATTGGCTTTCGGATTCAGAGGCGCCTCAGAGAGAAGCACAGGATGCTCTTCAGGCGCAACACGCAGCTCGTTGTAGAAGGTGTGATGCCATACCTTCTCCATGTCGTCCCAGTTGGTCACGATGCCGTGCTCGATAGGGTACTTAAGCGTCAAGATACCTCGCTTAGACTGCGCCTCATCTCCGACGTAAGCGTCCTTCTGGCCCATTCCAACCATCACGCCCTGATGTCGAGGGCGACCCACGATGCTCGGAAACACAGCACGGGGCGCATCGTCGCCGGCAAATCCAGCCTTGACCATGCCAGAGCCATTGTCGCAGACGAGAGCCGTGACCTCCTCCTCCTCTGCCATGATGCTTTGATTGATTGATTACCAAACAAACAGCTCAAAGAGAGAAACACAGAGGGAATGACAAATGGGTATAAAGAATCAAGAAGAGAGAGAGAGAGAGAGAGAGAGAGAGAGAGAGAGAGAGAGAGAGAGAACGAAATTATTGACAAGCTCTGAACTGGCTGGCTTCTGCGTTTTACTCTTCCTACGAACGTTGGGGCCGATGAATAGCGCAGCGAATAGAGGCAGCGAGAGCTGCGAGAGGGACAGAAAGATATATTATGTACGAAGATATATTATGTACGAAGAACCAATGAGGAGATGCACCAGACGACCTCCACTGACTCCCGCCCCCGCCTCACCTCACCCCGCCTTGAATTCCCTCTTACTCAACCACAACGGACGCTGCCTCGCACGTTCACTGTCCGCCGTTGGCCTTCTTAGTACATTTCATCCGATTGCCCTGTCTCTTCGGTGAACTCCCTACGGAGAGAGCGAGATCGGGACCACCGCAGTAGAGGCAGGGGGAGATCAGAACCGCCGCGCCCATGGCTCGCTCACTGGTCATTGCTTCCCTCTTCCTCCCTTACCCATCCCTCAGCAGAGCTCGGCTCCTCCCGCGCTCCGCTTGCCGACTCGTCGTGACGAATTTCCGTCACAGATGCGAGGCAATCGACGGCCAAAATTGAGAGCTTGCATTGAGGAAAGCCTGCAATAGTTCCTGTGACCGGGCCGTACTGCGTACCACCTGCAGATAGTCTCCGCAGATGGACGACCCAATGGGAATCGCGCGCCCAGACAGATTGATTGCAGGGACTTACACGAGGCACTTACTATTTCGGAGAAAACGACAACCAGGTTCCATGTCGGCAGTAGGCTGCCTGCTGCCACCGCTGCGCCTGTCCCTCGCCCCCCTTGCGTTCTCTGCGGCGCCAAAAAACACCTCGCCATCGCTGCAATTTACTTCGTTTCTTTTTTTGCCTGAAGCCTATTCGTCTCGAACACATGACGGGTTCGTTGACAATTAATTACCTTTGCAATATTCACATCTTCCCGAGAGCCGGAGTCCCGAAGTGAGAGATCCTGGTACCCAACGTGGGAGTGAGTAGTGCACGCATTCCCCTGCTGATAACCGCGTTACGAGTTCGAATCGTGAAACCAAGTGTAAAGGGCTCTTGTCCGTCTTTCGAGAAAAACAAATAATAAGTTCAAAAAAATGATCATAGCCTGCGGGCTTAGCTCAGTTGGTAAGGCACAAAAGTTGCATTCTGGAGGGCGTGGGTTCAATCCCCATTCGCCTCAAGTACGTGCCTGGGAAGCCTTGTGTTCTACCAGCTAGAGATAACCCGTTGGCTCTCCAAGCCAGCATTGGCGGGACCTTGGCCAAATATTGTTGGTTGCAGCAATGATGTTCGCCATTAGACACCGCTAATGTGGGGTTGGAGGGGGAGGTCCAAGTGACTGCCCAACGCTGCTCGGCACTAGCATCCCCTGTTTCCCCCGTCGGCAATGCCTGATCACCCTGCACCATATATGAGGCATCGTGATGCCTCACACCACTGCTGTGGTGCAAACCTACGCCAGGTTTGATTCAACTTGGTGTTCCCCCCTATTATACATAGAGTAGCAAGAGGATGAGATAGAATATATACAAAAGAAGATTGAGAGAAGAATATAGATTACTCTTTTAAAAAGAAAAAAAGAAAAAAAGAAAAATGATCATCTAGCCGTCAGGTCAGTCCTGCCTTGGACGACCCAGCGGGAAAACAAGCTCATCTGTGTGCTCCCCTGCCTGTCTTGGCGTTGCCACTTCGCAGCCAAGAAATTGCGCTTAGTCCAGTTGTCTTTTGTCATTTTGTGCGAGTTTCCATTTGCAGCAACATCGTCGACTCCATAGGAGGTCGGGCGACCTATTGCACCATACGTAGGTCGTTGCTGTGATGTGCCTGTCCACGCCCGGTGTTTCCTCTTCGGGAGGAAGGGTGAAAGAATAGCAGGTCAGGAGCGGAAGAGAGGGGGTGTTTATTTTCTTTTCTTTTCCGTTTTTGCGGTTTTTTTTTGTATGTTCTTTTTATATAGTTTTGTATTTTTGCTTATTCGTAGTGAGTGTAGCGTTTTCCGTTCTTGTAGATACAGGTTGGGTAGGCAGCTTTTTTTTTTTTTTTTGCCTTTTCTGCGGCTGTGCCTACCGTGGTGAATGACCTTCCCTTTCTTAGGGACGTGACCAGTGAAATCAACGCATGCGGCCTGGAAGACGTCTGTGTTTCGGTGGATTTCGGCCGTGTGTTGGTCCACATACAGGTCGTTAACCTCAGGGCTATATGGTGGAGCTGTTGGGGATGGGGAAAGCGGTGGGCCGTGGTATGGGTCATGTGCCATCATTCATAGCGGACAGGTTTTTCTTTTGTTGTGCAGGGTGCACGGCTACGTGGAAACGTGTCTGGATTCGAACGAAGACCGTGACTGTAAGTTGCATGGTGTTCGTTAGCATTCGAGGGGGCCGGTCAGGGCGGACAGGGTTTTTTTTTGGTTTTAGAGGGTGAACAGGTTTGTGGAAATGCGTCCATGTTCGGGAGTTATGTGTTGTGGCACACGTATGCGGAAATGTGTCCACGTTCGAGAGCTTTGTGCTCTGGTAGTCGACAGGTTTTTGGTGGGGTGTTCGTTTCCTGCCCAGGGGGCGGGTCAGGGCAGTGCATGGTTTGGTTGTGTGCGGGGGGTGGGGAGCGATGGAGGGGAAGCTATTGGAGACATTCACAATGGCGGGCGTGGAGGGGAGGAAGCTATCAGAGAGAGGGTTAGCTATCAGAGAGAACGGTGCGAGCATCGGAGTGTCGTCGTGTGGTGGTCGGGGCAGCGTGTGGTGGGGGGGGATTGGGTTGTTGTAACAGTTGCAGCTCGGCTACCAATGGCCAAGTTAGATCAGGCAGTCACGCGGTACCTG